TCACAAACACCGGAGTTATCGCGTAACATACATAAAAAAAACATACAATGGAATAGACAACCACCTCCTTTTTTCAAGTCGGTTAAAAAAGTAGCAGTCCACAATTTTTTTATGTAATTTTTTTTTCATAAATTTTTTATGTTAATAACCTAAAATAAAACAATTAAATAGCCAGCCTGATTTTTGAAAACAAACTTTTTATTTTGATGTCTGTCACTTACGTACTAAAGATACGGTATAATGTTATGACGTCTTCTAGCATATCGATAGCATACACTATAGTGCTTGCCATTACGTGATGAAAAGATTTGCCAATAGGCGTAATCGTAAGCCAGACGCTCAATAAAGGTTCATCGTGCGGTGAAGCTTCTTTCGTGCACCCCAAATGACATATCCACGCGCTTGCTTTCTTACTCCATGGCATTGTTTGCTAAACAAAGTCAGTTTGTAAAACAAAGGCGAGCACAGTGAAAACAAAACATGTAGTGGACGGTGCTACTTACTTTCATAGGGATTGTTTTAGCGATTGTACCAGTGTATATTGAAATAGTTTAGATTCCTTACAAACACAAAGACATTTTTAATTCAAGAAAAGCGAATGCTTCGATGATTCGTTTGCTTGTAGGATATATGAATTTTAATTAACGGCATAAATTTAGATTATTTTAAAGGTGAAATGGGCTGGAACTGACCAGAAACAGCTTTATGTCTTCTTCTTCTTCCTGTCCTTTTTCCACGCTACGTGGGGTCGGCAAAACATATATTTTTCTTCCACTCTCCCCTAACAGCCGTCATTTCCATACTCATACCTTTCTTATCCATGTCATCTTTCACACAACCTATCCACCTTTTATTTGACCTTCCTCTAACCTTATATCCCTCCACACTCATACCTAGCACTCTTCTCATCACATGACATTCTTCCCTCTATCGTCCATTCTACCCTAACCTATTACTCAACAGCTTTACGTCTAAGGGTGGCTTTGATGATGAATCCAATTTTAATGAAAATTGGTGCGTAGGTGAAACTCCAATGAAAATAAAATGTTAATGTGACCTAGAGCTGATGAGAGGCACTCCTCAACAGGACAATAGCGATCTTGTGTTTGGGCTCACATGGATCGTGTTGACGAGGACTTCCATCTCCATTTCAATTGTCGCTGAAGAGGCCGCGGCTACGAACACATCAATATTTTGAAGTCGGTTTTTTTATAAAATAATAGGGGTTAAAGTATGAAATTGCCGATTTGTACTGAAAATCTAAATTGTTTATTTTTTAAATTTTTAACAAATTTATTTAATCAAAATAGTTGCCATTATTATCTATACATTGCTGCCATCTAATAGGAAGGTTATTAATGCCTTTGCGATAGAACTCCGACGATCTAGACTGCACAAACTGTGTGAAAGCATTTTGTACTGCCTCCTGGGAAGAAAACTTCTTGTCACTTAGATAATTGTCCAAATCACGAAAAAAATGGTAGTCCGTTGGAGCAAGGTCTGGTGAATACGGAGGATGACGAATGGTTTCTAACTGCAGTTCCTGAAGGGTCAAAATGGTTTCTCGTGCTGTGTGAGGTCTCGCGTTGTCGTGGAGCAATAATGGTGAAGATCGATTCATGAGTCGGGGCTGTTTTACTGCTAGTTTTGTCAACATGGTTCGGAGTTCGGCACAATAGACATCTGCCGTTATTGCTTGACCAGATCGGAGAAAACTATAGTGAATAACACCATGCTGAGACCACCAAACAGTTACCATTACCTTTTTATTGGTAAGTTTTGCTTTAGGACACTGTTGTGGCATTTGACCTGGGGTCAGCCATTGCATTTTTCTTTTCCGGTTATCATAAAGAATCCACTTTTCATCACATGTTACAATTCGATCCAATATTCCTTCATTTCTGTACCGGTTCAACAAGGCAACACAAGTTTCAACACGCGTTTCTTTCTGCAGATCAGTCAAATCATGAGGCACCCATTTTTCGTATTTTTTTATTTTATTGATTTGACGCAAGTGAGTCAATATTGTGGGTAAGGTAACGTTAAACCATGCCGCTAATTCCTGGGTAGTTTGACTAGGATCGGCTTCCACTATCTCTCTTAATTCATCGTTATTCACCTGTGTGGGCGGTCTTCCTCGTGACTCGTTCTTTAAGTCGAAATTTCCATCACGAAAGCGTTTAAACCAAAATCGCACGGTGCGTTCATTAGTAGACCCCTCTCCAAACGCAGCATTGATATTGCGGGCTGTTTCTGCCGCGGTAGTTCCGCGTCGGAACTCGTATTCAAAAATCACTCGAATTTTCGCAGTATCCATCTTTCTTGTCTAAATTGAATAACAAAAACAATTGAAAGTCGATATTCAAATGTTTCAAATTTAAAAAAAAAAAATCACAGAAACCATTTGAAAAAAGTTTCATTCGAAAACCTCAAACCATGAAGATTCTATGAAAATTCAAAGAACCTATTGCAATAAAACGGCAATTTCATACTTTAACCCCTAATATACTATTGCATATTTTACAAAGACTACTTGAATCATTACCGCCGATTTAATAAGCGACAAAAACCAAATTTTACAGAAGAGGGTTTTTTAAAAATGTTTCTACATATAAATGTGATACTAAATTGATTTTTTATATAGGGGCACTGCCACTGCGCCAGTCACCCTGAGACATGAGTTGATAAGTCCCATGTGCCTGTAATTTCACCAGCTCCTTTACTCTTCAAAACCGGAACACAATAATCCTGACATTACTGCTTGGCGACAGAAATAGGCAAGGTAAAGGCAGTACTACTCTGGAAAAACTCTTTCACGAGGGGCAGTTGAACTGCTATTAAACTGCTACCCAGAACACGTAGATTAGAACCAATTTCGAAAATATTGTTTCCCAAATTGGCGTCACCGGGAATAGTATCCGGGAGGTTCTTCACCCAGCGCTCACAGTGCCGTCAAAATACAGAACACGATACACATTTTAAAATTCATACTAAACCTAATACGGTTTTGAAATAAAATATATGTATTATTTTTCTTACCTTTTCTTGTATATACCGAGTAATAACAATGTCACTACAAGCCGTGCGCTCTTAGAAAACAATGTTTTAGACTCAGACATTTTCCGTTAAAAGATTACCAATTTCACGTATTGTTTTATCTCAGAAAGCTGAATAAATATTTCGCTCAGCCTAACTACACTGTCGTGTGTACCCCCACGACAAAAAAGATAAGTTTACTTACAGATAAATTACACAAATTCATAGCAAAAAAAGTCATACGTTCCACTAAGGGGCATGGATTGGAATTTAGAACATACTAGGGAGAATTCATCCAGGGTAGTACTGCCTACCTATTTCTGCCGCCAAGCAGTAATATCAGCAGTAATGTGTTCCGGTTTTGAAGGATGCTGGTGAGATTACAGGCAGACTTGTCAACTTACGTCTCAGGGCGACGGGCGCAGTGGTAGGGGGCACTACCAGATCAGATCAGATCTTAACAATTTAAACCTCTGAGTGGTACTGTAACTGTTATGGACAGGCGTGTAACCTACCATCAGGCGCACGACTTGTTCATCTCGTCACTTGATGTTATAAAAAAAAAACACGAAATCGGGCCAAAATGTCGGACTGTGACCGAAATCTTCTGCTTATTGGTGACACGTGCTCAGTTGGACATACAAAGGCCCCCATATACGGAACGATTGGTCTTGACTATCCGTCATTTCAGACGAATCGAAAGTATATATTCATGTCATAAGTAATTAATTTGGGGAGCATCTAACAGGCTTCCATAAACAGACGATTTCTGGATTGGATCTATCTTCACGATTATCTTATCGATCCGTTGCTAACATCATGGCGTTCTAATTAATTGTTATCGATATAAATATACACTATCGATTCGTCGTTGCGATCGACCAGAAATGACATACTGAGAAGACAAATCGCCCTATATACTGGGGTATTAACGTGTATGAGGATATTAAGAGCACCAGCAGTGCCATGACGTAACGAACGAACTGGCAGTGGGCGGGTCACGTGTCACGTGTTCGAAAGCATGGCTCCTGGTGTAAAGTGGTCCTTGAATGGCGACCTTGGGGTGAAAATCGCCCCAAAGGGAGACGGCAGATGCGTTGGGAGGATGAGATAAAGAAAGTGGCGGGGTTGAATTGGATACAGATAGCACAGAGCCGAGAGAAGTGGCAGGAGGCCTACACCGATATGGTTGAGAAGGGCTATAAATGAAATAAGACATGTCGTATTTCTACTTCTAATGTCTTGATTACCAATCCAATCTCTCGATTGCATCAATCACTTGCTTAAAATTCCACGTTGCAATAACATGTATGGTAGAACCGGCTTAGATACCAAAACTGATTATCTAAGTACTGTCAACATAAAAACAAATAAAATAACATTTCTTGAATAACTAACAACTAGCTAGATGACTCGAATTTAGGAGAGGCGAAGCTGCGTAGCCTTCAACGCTGTCGTAAAGTTACCTACTTGTCTGGAGAATGTGCGATAGAGTTGCATGATTTGATTCCGCCTTCCCCTTTCCATCATCGGGGGACTAGACGTAAGCTGGGGTTCCACCCCTATATTATGGATATACCCAGGATTCACACGAAGCGTTTTGCTTCCACATTTATATGGCGAGCGGCTACGGAGCGAAATTCCCTGGCTGCGGATTTGTTCCACGAACGCTATAACTTGGACCTTTTCAATGCGTGAGTGACCTTTTCGTCGACCTCACCGCGCACTTATTTTTGTATAAAAACATTTAAATTACAAACATGTAAATTTATCATATGTGTATATTTGAAAAGAATAATGTTTTGCCGTATCCGCGGTGTTTATGCGTTCCTTCTTAACCGAGTTCTTACTCCATGGCGTAGTTTACAAAACGAAGTCAGTTTGTAAAACAACGTGAAAGCATTGGAAGCAAAATATGGAGTGGATGGTGTTAGTTACTTCCATAGAGATTGGTTTGCTGATTGAACACCTGTGTATTGTGAAACTTTAGGTTAGAAACAGAGTGACATTTTTACTTCATGATATACACACAAGGACGTTTTTCTACTCATCAATACCAACAATTTTGACATGTAATAATTTTTTAATAGTTGTCATTTCGCGAGAACAAAATCAGTTGTCTATACGTTCGGAAGGGCCAGTGTAGAAAAATACATCTTAAATGAGACGTCGCTATATCGAATCCCTATAATGGATTGCTCATATGAATTTTATTTTAAAATTACGTGCATTTGTTAAAGTTTAGTGACAATATCTCTCGTTAATTATGAAGGGAAAACGCGCCTTCAAATTAGAATTCGCTATGATACTTGCATATCGAACAAGGTTCTCAATTCTCGTAAAACGTACGCAGTATGAGGTCCTCAGCGTTTCTCTTTGCAAAAGACACTTGCTCAGTTGTGGAGTGCTTATTGGGATGAAGATTGTTTTTTCGTAATGTGTGGCATTTTCCGTAGTAAAAGTTGTACGTATTGAAGAGTAATTTTTCCCCTTAAATAATAAATAAAATCCCCGTAAAAATCTATCACCCTGTATAAAGAAGCTAGTATGATTTTGTTAGACTTAAAAAATCAACTATTTAAAACACGTATGAATTCAGAATCTAGAATACTTTTTGACAAATTTCTTTATAATGTGTTGTACAATTTCGACGTAACAAATGTCGATGAAAAGTTTCGTGTCTAAAAATTGTGAAATTTGCACGAGTTGTAATTTTGTTTATTTAATTATTATTTTAATTACAATAATATTATTTAATATACAAATAATTATATACTTTTTATGTATATTTAATTTGACACAATTTTCTTCCAGGTTTCAGAAAATGTGACGTTGCATAACTAAGTACCGCTCGCCCTATTTCACACATTTTCGGTTATTTGTTCACGTTGGGAAATACTCAATGAAAATGTTAATGATATTAGGATTTTTACTAGTGACAATGAACTCTATAAAGTGCTACATGCATGAACAACGTGATTACATGTACGAAATTAACAGACCTAGAGGTATGGTACTTAATACCCATTTAGTATGTAATTAGAATTAAGTTTATAGTATTTCGAGAAGGGGTATTTCGAGACAGATCGAATTTATTGTAAATATTAGAATAATTTAAAAGTACAAGAGGAGTTAAGTAGCAAAGAAGCAAGCCCCACACATCTCTGCAGCCTTAAGATATTTTATCTAATATTTTGTTGTTAAAAATACGTTATATTTTACGAGTGTGATGTTATAATGGCATGGTTACACTGCTATTTATCATCTTACTAGCGGTAGAGCTCCTTGTGAGAGAGTTCGTCTAGAGAAGTACTGCCACCTTACCTATTTCTGCCGCCAAGCTGTAATAGCCAAGTTCTTAGGTTTTCGCGATTGTTACACATAGGAAATAAAACTATTTTTCCGGATTTAAATCGCGTATATTCATATTCGCGTATGTTAATAATAAATTAAACTTAATAAAAAAATCATTCAATAAAATAAGTTGTAAAACTTAATGTAACGTAAATTGGAATGTTTTCTTTGTAAAATTCAAAATGTATTTAATTAATAACTATTGTAACTATAGTGAAAAAATAGGGTGGTTTGCATTAATATTAGACATAACTGGTTGGAGACTGTACCACCTCGGTCAACCGAAACGTCGGTTTGTTTGAAAAAACAAATATACGCGATTTAAATCCGGAAAAATAGTTTCATTTCCTATGTAATAGCCAAGTTTAGATAGTTGCGGGAAGGGATCGTTTCAGTTTACGGTATACCGCGCTAATCACAAAGCGCACATTGAATTATAAACGTAAGCTTTCTGTACTGCGTATACCGAGCGTACCTGTATCGCGCTACTACCACCCCGACAAGTTAGGAAACGGCCTAACACTATTTTATACTAGCGGTATGTTCCCATTTATTGCCATGTCTGAGGTCCCGGGTTCGATTCCCGGCCGGGTCAGTGTAGAAAAATAACTTTTCTATATTGTCTCGGATGTGGGTGTTTGTGGTACTGTATCTCTCTCTCTCTCTCTCTCTCTCACCTGAGCGTTGTCCCGGTTGCGTCCTCAGCAGTATTGCTGCGGAGCCCGGGGTCTGCTTTCCTACTTTTTCTCCTCCACTTTGCACGGTCTTCGGCATCCTTAGTGGTGAGACCATTGGCACGCATATCACCCTTGGCGACGTCAAGCCAGCACTTCTTGGGTCTACCCCTTCTACCGGGGCCCGGCGGAGGTGGCATAGCCAGACATTTGTTTCCCACGTAGCATGCCGGTTTCCGTAAGATGTGGCCTTACCAACGTAGGCGGCTTTCTTGCAGTTTATCTGCAATGTCACGGACGTGAAGGCTGCCGCGGATGCGGGAGTTTCTGACACGGTCTTTCCGTGAAACTCCACACACCCAGCGCAGCATCTTCATTTCCGTGACACGCAGCTCCTGCTTATGACGCTCAAGTACGGGCCACGTTTCACTGCCATATAAAAGGACAGGCCTAATTATGGATTTATAGACCTGTCCTTTCAGCTTAACTTCTTGGCAGCTTAGTATCTTGGGGTCACAAATGACACCAGTCACCTCACGCCACTTTGCCCAAGCGGCTGCGATTCGGGCTCTGACGTCGCAGTCGATGTCTCCGGACGCGCTAAGTACAGATCCCAAGTATTTAAACTGTGTCGGATGTGGGTGTTTGTGGTACCGTATCGTTGTTTCCGATTTCCATAACTCGAGTGTTTTAGTTGCTACGTATGTGATGTTGACTGATATTAATATTATATGATGCTGATTGGGATATTCTTTTCTTACCATCTGCTTCCTTATTATCTCATCTGATAAAACTAATTGTTGCAGATGTACCATACTATATCAAAGAAGCTCTTGAAGTTAAGAACAAATTCAAACCTTGGCCACGTGCGAAGAAAAAGACTCTGGAAAACCTGTCTATGCGAGACGTTTTTGAGAAAATAAAAAACGTCACTGCTGCTCTGAATAAACATGCTAAACGGAATGGTTATAAGGTTGATTATAAATTTAGGATACTAGAATAGTGATGTTTGTTTGTGACTGCTATAAGCTTAATCGAAAACCATTTAAAAATTAAAAATTTTGTCAATCGATGTGCATCAATTTTGAATTTCGACCTTGGATCTGAGATAATTGAGGCCAAAATATAAAGTGCATGGGAAAATGTTAATGTTGAAACAACGACGGTACCACAAACAACTAGACCCGAGACAATATAAAAAAGTTTTTTACACTGACCCGGCCGGGGTGCCCAGGACCTCAGATATGGCGACACCATGGAAACCGGTATGCAAGCCATTCAACCGCGGAGGCCGTCAAAAGGAAGTTACACGCCCATGGTCACGGGATGGCTGGCCAGAGGCAGAACAGACATATCTGTCTACTCTCTTTCGCTGTCGACGACTACCTTCAATCTCGATTACTTGTGGCGTGTGCCATTTTCACTAACTTTTTTTTCCCGGAAAAATTTAATTACAGTAACAATCTAACTCTTATAAAGGGTTAGGTTATTACCTAAAAGTAAACAAACTAATGAGTTTCATACGTCGTATTACTGCCGTACTTTTTAATTTAGTCGCATGTTATTAGCTGTCTATCTTTTTACACGCTTTAAACTCTTGGACTATGGAAACTAAAGGACATGTTATGTTGACATATATAAATCAGACGTTATATGTATATGATGCATTTCGACGTTGAAAACATAAACATGTTATTGTCTTTGTTTAATTATTGAGTGCCGTCTTAAGCCAAAAGAGATAGCATTACATTGGTCTGTGTCAAACACGGGAATCGAAAATACGTAACATCATCTTAAATGCCAACTGTGTCCATTTCGCAGTACATGAGGTACATGATACGGTTGTCAAAGGGAAGTACATCAAATGTCAAAACAAATGTTTTTCCAAGTAACTTATTGAATTATTCACATGTATTGTAATAAAATAGACAAAAATATTGACAGTGAGAACAATTAAGTATTAATAAAAATTCGTCGCTGCAGCATTACGGGATGTGGCATTTGAAAAAGTGAAGATCGACCGAATATAACATTGTGCAGGCACGGTTGTTTTTCTGTCCATAAATCACACAAAATCTCAAATATCTCATGTAATTAGACATATTTAAGTAGTTTATTCATAAATCTTGCCAAATTTTGCTTTAGTTTCTTCAGATTGCCGGTTTGTATATTTGATGATTGTTGGTAACAATTATTTTGAGATAGTGTTGTTCTTGGAAGCGTAAATATTATCAATGTTCTGTTATTAAAATAATTGAGTACCAGGTTTTTATTATTTTGTTCTTATTATTTTTACTATTTCAAGTTTACATACAAATCAAAAAAGAAAAAAGGACAGTTGGAAATCATACCGTCGTATAATAGTGCCGAATATAAACATTGAATCAAAGACCATTTTCATTTATTCGCTTCATTTTCAAGAGTCAAATTTTAACATAACTTTGAATGTAACTAGATCACATGATAATGCAATTCCATCATTAGGTTTATTGGTAAATAATTTTATATTTAATTTAGATTAAACAAGACTCATTTACTAGGCATTCTCAGTTCCTGAAAACAAAATTATCCACTCGTTTCCGATTTTTTCCCACTGACAATTCTAACTACTAAAAATTCTTATTTTATAAAGCCAGCAGTACAATGACCATGTTGGTCTAGCGTTGCCGGGTGAAGGCCAATACCAACGTATAGACAGCCTATTTACCTTGCCTTGCCATCATTCGGTGTCACTCGCCTAGCTGACCGAGTGAAGGCGAGCGCTAAGTTTGACGTGACTCGTCACAACTCGCAGTCGCTCGTGACTACTTGTCTCACTTCGAGAAGTGTCGATTTTTCTGCACATATCAAAGGCGCTCGACCAATAGTAGTCAACTGACATTGTATAATCAGACATTTGCATGCTATTTAATATATGCGAAACATGTTTATACTAACATTGTCTCTTGTTACATCTCCTGTTATACCATGTTTTAATCAAATAAACGTTTGATAATAATATTATTATTGATAATAAATATTACTACTTGCAATTATTTCCAAAGTTAAATGGAAGTATTAAAGATTCACTTAAATCAGTTACGATTTATCGATAGATTATGAGACCACGCTAAGGAAATCCGCCATTTGTTCGTTCAATTTTTGTTTAGGTATGCACGTTCAATCCATATTCAGGGCAGCTCCTTTCTTTTGTTTTTTTTCCATCCTCTAAGTTTAAACTCTTAGAGTCGTATTCCAGAACTCTACTCAATGCTCAAGTCAGGACTTGAGCAGACTTAAGTATGATTTCAAGCACTGGAAATACGACTCTAATGGCAAGGACTTGAGTATGATTTTCAGTGCTCACTGCAATACTCAAGTCCTGACTTGAGTATTGAGTGGAGTTCTGGAATACGACCCTAGATTTTTAGGTTGTTTATCGTAGGAAATTTGTGAAATGTGATATTAAACCTCTGTATTTAAATATTTTAATCTATGCGGATTATATTTAAGTAATTAGTAGTATTTTAAATAGGTAGTTCGAAATGTAGACAACAATAGTTGAAAATATTATCATTACACAGAACCATTTTTTAAAATTTCGTTATAATTTTATAATAAGTAATCATTTAATACCTCATAAACAATGGTCGGAATCGACGGAGTTAATTTACCTAAAGTATAAACGTTTTCTTAATACGGACATACTCATTTCGTGATACAACAAAAATTTCTGAATTCATATTACAATATCAAAGCGTATAAAATTTCGTTTTTCACTCTTTATTTTCTAAACTTATAAAGTGTAGGTTGCCTTGTGTTTTTGCCTTTTTTGTTTTTGTGTTTTGTTTTAAGTACCTAAGAAACAATATTATTTTTTTGAAACAATAATTTGTAGCAAATGTACTCAAATTTCAATAAATCATACACATTCAAATATAATCCGTTGAGAGAAGTCGGGCTTTTTTGAAGAATTTGAGAAAGGGTGTGTCCAGGTTATTCTTTACTTTAGCTAAATTCACTCCCTTAATTCCGATTTACTTCTAAAGTACCTCATTCGGTTTATTAAGATTTAGTCAATTACCTAAACCTTTATAGTATAGTAATTAATTAGTGATTTAGAAAATTTAGTGAGTGAGAAAATCAAGAAATTAAAAATAAGGAAACATTTCCTTATTTTTTATTTCTTGATTTTCAGATTTCAGATTTCAGATTGGTAAATTTCTTTATTTATCTTTGTACATACTAACGACATATTATTTATCTATCACTTTAAAAATGTCGAAGGGTTGGAAATAAGTCTATCTTTCGTACCAGTAGAGCTCCTTGTGGAGTTCGTCCAGGGAAGTACTGCCACCTTACCTATTTCTACCGCCAAGCAGCAGTGTGAACATTACTGCGTTCCGGTTTTGAGTACCCGTAAGTACCCACGGGTGCTAATGAAATTACAGGCACATGGGACTAGTCAACTTATGTTTCTGGATGTCGGGCACAGTGGCAGTGCCCCTCGGATCTTTATGATTTAAAACTCTGAGTGGCACTGCAACTGTTATGAATAGGCGTGTCGCTTACCACCACTCGATATCATAAATAAAAACAGTAGAGAGTACTAAAGAAATTTCAGTACTTTCACCGGATGAGATACTTAGATGAAAGAACGCCGGCTGCCGCTTCCACCTGGTGGGACTGTGAGATGACATCGATGATGAGTGCGATTACGTCAATTATGTCGATCATACAACTATTTTGGAGACTCCAAGCGTATTTTTTCACCTTCCCTCACTTCGTATACCTATTACATTATTATAAATGTTTATTAAATAAATAATCTCAGTGCAGAGCATTAAAAAAATCGACCTCAAAAGTACGTGGAATTACATCTATTTGCCAAGTTTTATTGAAATCGGTTACCGGAAAGTGCGCAAACCCGGATTCATCCCCTAGTTCGCCACTATACGGGACTTGATACAGGATATAATAAAAATCGGTTCTCACTACTCAAAGTATATTGAGATAGAAAAACGCCTTGAATTGGAGAATAGCAAAATCAACCATTAAAATAATTGCTCCTTATAATAAAATGTAGGCGCTATTTACAAAAATGAATCTTCATGCGTGAACAGCCACCCTTAGAGGCGGATGTTTTCTTCAAAATTAAATGGGATCACTATGGAGGTACCCTCTTTCCAACAAAAAAAGAATCATGACAATCGGTTCACACATACCGGAGTTATCGCGTAACATACATATAAAAAAACATACAGTCGAATTGAGAACCTACTCCTTTTGAAATCAGTTAAAAAAATATTAGTAAACAATATAATAACATGAGGTACTTGGCCAATTCTAGCTCTATTCTATCTCTTTGGTTTTTTATTTTGTTTTATAACATTTGTTTGGATTTCGTATACATAAATGAAGAGCTACAGCCTCTGGTAGCTACGATAACGGCCAGGCGCGTTCTGAAGCGTAGCAATGGCAACTAAACGTTTATAGCTTACATTGGGCACGCGAAGTAGGTACACTTGCGGCGTCTATTTAGATATAATTATGTCTGTGAGTAATAGGTTAATGAATAAATTTAAATATAACCTATAACTCGAAAATCATCGTAATAATACATAAGTAACATTCACAAAATGTAGAGAAGTATCTTTTCCAGAAAATAACCCGGTGAATTATGGAATCCATTTTCTGTATCGTTAGTTTTCACGACAGCATGAAAGGCACCCTAGATGGCTTGTTATAAGTAGCTTAGTATGCTATAAGGGGGAACAGTTGTTTGAGCTTTTAATTCGAAATTAGTTGCATATTAACAAGACAATGTGTAAATGTCGCTGTTCGCCTCTGTAACACCTGTATATGACTTCTTTCTCAATTACAAAACCAAACAATCACGTCTTACACGCATTTAATATATAAGTATACATATATTGAATAGGTGCTGGGTGAGGTAAAGTCGGTACCTTTGCATTCTTGAGAGATTTTTCGACGAAAATAAAATTGTTTCGACGTGGTCAGCACTTCAGAACAATGTTTCTTCATACACTCACTA